ATGTCACATTCACTCAACTTGGATGATGGTGACATGTCGGAGATCGTGAACTCCAATTCTCTATCTATTCCAATGAAACATAACTGGTTTGCATTCTTGAGGCTGCACTGTTGAAGTTACCTATACTGGTGGCCAAACGTTTGTGGCTAAAATACCCAGTTCGGAGGACAACCGAGCGCTACCTGTCTGCTTTGAATCACTAATGAAAGCCTTTAGATATTTACCCCGTACAGTAGTGTTTTCTTGTTCAGTTATGACATGCAGTCCAAACGTGAATCAACTCGATCACACCCTACGCGTTTTATCGCGACCGGTCAACTTCCATCATCCTGTGCCAAATTTACTGAGCGGACAGTAAGCATCTCCTTTTTAGTTTACATATACTTGGCCATTGTTTTCTCTCCTGAACTTTTACGAAAGATGAACCCCTTAAGCTACTTGTCTTGCGGATATTTTGACTAGCACAATTGATGCGAATAGCCATCTTGTTCGAGGGTGATATACCAAGAGCACTTCAGGAGCTGTTTTCAATACGTTCCTAGAATTGACATTACTGATCGTCTTACTCTCCTTGTGATGCGCTAGACTTCGAATCCTATAGCGTAGCACCCACTCAACCAATTCGTCTAAACATTTGGCTACTCATGATTCATTCATCCGTGCTCAGTAGGCAAGCAAAAATTTTGTTAAGGAATATATTCATTACCATACTTGAATACAGTGTTCACATAAGTCGTGTATCTTCTACTTACCAATTAAATCGAACAGTTGAACAGCTGAACATCACACAGACCAGGTCAGGGTAGTTGACTGGTTAAAGCAAATGCTGCACGGCAAGTACCCGGATAGTTTTAGGTTGTTACCACAGTTATCGCGGTCTTAAGTCGTGAAACTTAAATACACATTACTTGAATCAAGCCTAATTATTTTATTTGAAATACTGGTCACTGGAATTTTGACACATTCACCAACGTGAAACCCGTTTATTAATTTATGATGAATAAACCTCCGGAGTCCCATACCTTTTCTTAACTACTTGAAATCATATCGCTATCAAATTGCTCCTTAAGGAAATCATGTTTCAACATAGATTTCTCAGGATAGTCTCAAGAATTTGGAGTTGATTGCAACGGGCGCAAACACTTCTTAAAACTGTTTACCGTTCACTGAGCGACCAATATCAACTCAGACGATAGTATAACAGAAATACACATAGTGGGATGCCAACGACTGATTGGGGTTTGGTCGCTCAATAGACGGTCGCATTTAGGGGTGTTCCTTCCCACTGGATGCGAGTTGAAAGCGTTAATGACCATTTTTGAGCGACACGTGAAGGAACACGAGTTACTTAAGGAGGAATTTGAAAGCCCTATGAATGCAATTGACTGAGAAAAGGTATAGGGGCAATAACATCAACGAATGCACTTTCAGCATCTCGGGTTTTAAAACATTTCCACCCGGGGAAACTTATACAAATGCTTGCAAAGTGGAAATCGGTAAGCGAAAAGTTAGGGACATATGGTGAATGAGGCAAATATTTTTAAACATAGCTCGTGCAGCTTTCGTAGGGTTGGTTGTGCGAGTTGAGACCCTGGTTTATAATAGAAGGAAATTCGTTCCTTTCTGTTGACCAGTGTCGGGCACAGGCTGATATCTCCGGCGTGTTCCGGGTAGTTTCTTGCTAATACTTGTCTGTAATGATCTCGCGTGGTTCTGGAAAGCTGTGATGGATCAGACCAGCCGTAGACCACAAGTAGTCACCACAAGCGATTTGAGGTTTTAGGACGTGTGTGCGGAGTGATCGTAGCTCATCCATTAAGCATAGCGTCTTTGGTCCTCGTAAACAATCAACTTTTCGTTGCACGTCAGGAACTGGTCGAGAGGCAGATGGTTTTTGGTAAGCAGAACAAGGAAAAAGGACACTTCGGAACGAGGACATCTTTGACTTCTTTTAATTCATGTGATACCCATTTATCACACCTTTTCAACGATGCAATCTCCCATAATTGCTTGAAAACCATGACATTCAATACTGCTGTCAGAAACATGAACTCAAAAAGCTGTAGGTAGATTCGGTTTAAGGAAGGCCTTAAATTAATTGTTGCCCGTTTCAGCTTGACGTACACAACGTTCTTGAAGGCTTCGGTCACCTTTGCGAAAGTTTTGAAAGCACCATTGTTCAGTACAGCCGTTAGTGATTCCGGAACAAAACACACGGGCCGTTTCCGTTGCTTTTCCGCTGACTTTAAATTGGGACAAGAGGTTGTGAAAATTTGTCTTGTCAGTTTGTATTAAATGTTATTTCCTAGTGCCGAAAAGCGTTTCTGAGCTTAGCTGTTGCTTCTGATAGATCGAGTGAAGGCGTTTCAAAATGACACGTAACAAGTCAAATATCTATTCAAATACATAGCTGTTGAAGTTAGGCTATCAAAAGCCACAATAACATTGATGATGACCTAATACTTTGATATGTTTCTTGTGTTAAGTGGCGCAGAATCTTGCCGAATAAGTTGATCCGATATTGTTATTCCTCTGCGTTTTTCTTCACCGAGGACTCACATTCGCAAGAACGAAGCAGTGGTTTCCACCTATTGTGACCAGTTGTCAGTTAAATCATACGATCAGCCTCATGGCAGGTTGTGCACATGAGCGTGTCTGCATTGGACCAAGCATTGCATTTTTCGGGGGAAGAGGAAATATTGGTGCTTCCAGTATTTGGTTTGTTATACTGTTTCCGGATCGTAATGATGGAGCAGGTTATTTTCCCGCTGTCACAGACGGCCTCTTACATTATTAGCAGCATTGGAACATGTGTTCGGGAATATTTTACAAACATTTTCGACACCTGGCATTGATGTAAATGGGATACCTACTTCACCAATAGGCCACATTTTTAAGTGCAACTGTGTCGAAGCACATGGCCTCCCGGTGGACCAGTTCTTAATTCCACTACACTCAATTTCGTCACTCAAATATGTATCCGGTTAAGCTGGTTGAAGGTGCTCATCTACTTTAGTGATATTATGGAGTATTTGGGTGAGTTGAATGGTATGAGAAGAAATTCAGCGCGTGTACGCTCAGCCAAACAAACAAAACAAGCTTGAAAATACACTGTACGGCTGTTTCATCCCTACAGAAATCGTCAGCAGCGCGCATTCCATGTGACCCCTGTGGGGATCGAACCCGCAACGCGACCGTTGTTAGTCTGTGATTGAGACCACTCAGTAACGAGAACGGCATCCACCATAATGGCTAAGTTACTAGATGTTATATAGTTCGGCTCATTATCCACTGACTTGTAAGTTACTACCATGCAGAGCACATTATTCTCAACCAAAGAGAAGCGACAGTCGAGTTGCGGGTTGGAGCTCCGTAAGGGCGAAATAGAATGCACAACGTTGACGATACCCGAAGAAACGAAATCACCGTACAATACTTTTCCGCATGAGTGGTGACCGTCTGATATGATGAATTTAGATATGATGAATTTATTCTTATTCCGATACCATCGGTCTCAAGAAACCCGTAAATTAATTTAATTGTACTGGATGCATCCGTGCATTTTGTCAGATATCTGATCATAGCATATATAGGCTTATATGTATCTAGCTGGCAAATCCAATGTACTACTCAGAGCTTGCAAATTAATATAAGTGAGCAGTTTTTGAAGTTTTCTGCCTAAGCTCCGATCGATGTTCTGTACATCAGCCCATATCCATAAGCACGCGGAAGCTGATCCGTCATGCGTCTTCGAGATTAAGCGCATCTTCTTTTATTTAAGTGTGCCTATTTCGTTGATCTCAAAACTTTTCTAATCGAGGTGACTCAGCAAGCCTAAAAGTTAGCAAGGTAAAACAGAAACCCTGGCCTCGGCGGCCTTTCCTGTTGCTGAAATGTCAGCTGATTGCTCTGGTTCCAATGGAGCCAAATTGCAGTAAATTCCGCTGGCATTCTTCTAACTGTAGTATGTTGCTATGCGAGTGCATTAAAGCGTGAGTGAAATGATGGAGAGTGTGCAGAGGTTATTCCCTGCACACCTTGTGATATTACTCTTACTACGCTCGTATTGCGTATAACATATGTGGAGCATCCCTGGTCCCTTCGAAGGTACCATTCACCGTTTGATAATGCACACAACCAATCAAATGTCCAAAGCTCAACACGAAAAGCCGACTAACTATGCACAGGATTTACGGTTTCTTGTGTACACTGTGATCGTTGTTTTGTAACCAAGGATAAGTACCCGGCATAAATGTGCTTCTCTTAATTGCCTAGGCACTGGGCTGGTAAAGTAGCGATATGCTAGCCCGCACCGGCAATTTCCCACGGATCTACACTTGCCCAGATGTAGATGTGTATAGTGCGTGTTTCAATTCTTGCAGTTTCGGTGTGACTAAGACTAAACGCTGCCCAATACGAAGTTTTTCTAGTGAACAGTGGCAATCATAACTGTACGAAAGCGTTGGTCCCGGAGGTCAGCACAGTTTCTCTCAAAGCTAAGAAAGCATTTCTTCGTCCGTATTTTGGTTCTACTACATCCACAGACCACAACTGAAAGCCTGCAAATGTTGATTGGTGTATGGTTGCCTCAGGGAACTACAGTGACTACGCGAGCGGATCAGTCGATCAAATCCTGCTAACTACATTACTTGCCCAGGATGAAAAACATCGTACGGTACCTTGAAGTAAACATTTTGCGGACTTCTGAGTAGAAAACGAACCGTAAAGGTGTAGGTTTAAATAGCATTCTTCATCCTAAATTGATTGTTAACATAAAAGAAATAGGATTGGAATGTTTTTTGTTTGCGAGTATACTTAATTTTCGTTCCTGAAACGCGGCTGTATACCCTGAGAGTCTCGTATCAATGATAGCTAACGTAAGATTTAGATGAAAATTTCGCACTACCGTGGTTGATTGCATGTGCCACAGTATTGTTTAACCGAATTATTACATCTTGCTTTCCATTCATACCATTTCAATTTGTTACGCTTATTTCTAGGCCGCTCCGTCTCTTCGATGGAAATGAACACGCAGTGTTTAAAATGCAACAGTTGCAAAACGTCACGAAATCGGTGCTTAATCGTTGCTCTGAGTAAACCAGCATACTCCGGTTGCCGCCACGCACAAGCCCTACTGAACACATTACGACGCACAACGAGAAATTGATGGACAATTCAACCACCCTTCCAAATGTTCTGCACCATACAGTAACTTTTCCTTCTTTGGTGTGGCATATTTTCCAGATTGTTAGCACTACACATCATTATTTCCTCCCTGCCCACCTTCCATACATTTTGCAATAAACACACATGATCATTCAATGTTGAGCGATTTATTGGGATCACTAAAGTGGGTTCACGCATTAAAGCGTGCAGAGAACTGGCGGGGTAGAGTGGAAGAGAACCTGTCCTGTCCTCTTCAAACGGAGCCAAGTAAAATGATCAAATATGTCACTTTTGGCGCGCAAAGGAGGTTAACGGACGAACATTAATCTTGTTAATTTGATGATGCATGGAATTCTCAAAACCATTGAGATCCCAGCCACACCCCTAGAATGTCACAACAGGTAAAAGTACCATCGGTTAAGTCTCTTATATTGCTTAGGGTTTTAGTCGTCGGATCTGTCGTGGCCACTAATTCCGTGTGATATCTCATATTGCATCGATACAACTCCTTCTGGTACTTTACACCTAGCGGTGGAAAACTTGCGGAGAGCAACGTGGCACATTACAGCTGACCACGGGAGAAAGTAGATGAAGGCAGTCAGTACATTATTTCTTCGTACATGTTAGCGCGTCCGGATTCCGCCTGGAAGCTATGGTGCCAGCAAACGTGATGAATCTATAAGAGGAAGCTGCTCGCAGAGCATAGCGACCACTCACTAGGCGACAGTGCTCCCTGTTCTCAAGCTACCAACATCAATGTATCTGCGTAAAACTCAGACGCCATCAAAAAGCAAGATGATTGAGTTAGCTTCGGTTTGGTAGATCCATTGACCTTGGAAGATGAGCTAGATTGACAGTCCAATTGAAATCGCGTCCAAAGCCATTGAGCATGATTAAGACAACCAGCAACGTCACCGAAATTTCGCGTGTTAACGGACGGAACCAAATGTTTTCCTCCGGCATCGGGTGCAACTGAATAAATCACGTCACCCTGAGCATCCGCATGCTAAAACAGGTAGATCAGTGTGCTGCAATTTTACACGTAAGGGTGAAATAAGTCACTTATATTCCCCACATTCTTCATATTAAAACCTTTGCGACAATCGTGGAAAATACTATGAAGTTATATCCTTACCCTATGCTGCAAGTCACCGGCGATCCTGACGCAGCTCATCATCATCATTATACACGTCAGCTAGAGGTGGTAAAACACCTCCGCTATTGTACCGCAATACATAAAGGAAATGCATACATACATATGATATATAAAGGAAAAATAAATACGACAGTTGCATGCCAGCTGAGCTACCAGCGACGGATAGGCATCGTTCCGGTAAGCTACCAGCCAGCTACTAGGCAAACAATTATTATGTTGTACCCTAGGAAATAAGATCGTAGATGGAGGGGAGGCTAAAATGGATGGGGAGGGACAAAGAAACTCACAGCACCAACGCCACTGAGGTCGGCTGCTTGCCATGTCAGCAAGTGTATCCAGCCAAACGTGTTCACCGTCTTTTGGACCCCAACCAGGGAGTCGTGACGCTCCAACCGAGGCCAGCTCCGAAATGAGGGCATTCAGTCCTCTTGACCAAGTCATCGCTTGTCCACCTCTCCTCTTCGTCCACCCACATCCCCGGAGAGCAAACAACGCACGTCGAGGGAGTCGGTGGGCTGGCATGCTTAACACGTGGCCCAGCCATCGGAGCTTGATGCGGGAAATAACGGCGCTGAGCGGTTCATTCCCTTTTCCTGGGCTGTAAACAAGGCGTCGAACACGCTCGTTACTCACGCGGTGTTCCCACCAGATGTGAGCCAAACTGCGAAGGCACCGATGGTCGAACGTAACTAGCCTCTTCATGTCCGCCGATCGTAGGGGCCAGGTTTCGCAACCGAACAGTAACGTCGGACGTACCGCGGCATTGTACACTCTACCCTTCAGGATGAGAGTAATGTCGCGCCGCCGCCAAAGGTGGCGAAAGTTAGAAAAAGCGGCGAGCTTTCGCTATACGGTTCGTGATCTCGTCTTCGATCCCAAGGGCACTGATACAACTTCCCAGGTAATTGAATTTCTGAACGACTTCTAGCTGATCCCCACCAAGGGTCAGCACAGGGGGCGATCCCTGCCAATCTTGGAAGAACGCTTTGCATTTTGATGGTGCAAAGCGAAGCCCGAAGCGACTGACAGCCAGTGATAATCTGTCCAGCCCCGCTTGGCACTTCTGGGAGCTGTCACAGATGAGGGCAATGTCGTCTGCATATTCCAAGTCAAGAAGTCATTCGCTTGCAAGCAGCTTCACACCTTCCAAGTCATGTCCTGTAAATGCAAACTCCATGACTTCGTCAATAGCGAAGTTGAAGAAGAAAGGTGACAGCGGGCATCCTTGTCTCACACCACTGGAGATAGTGAAGGGTTGCGACAGCTTGCCGTAAGTCCTCACTCTGCCCGTGCTACGCGCATATAATGCTTGGATAATATTTACATATTTCTCGGGCACACCTTTCCTGAGTAGACAATTCCAAAGGGCACATCGATCAACCGAATCGAAGGCACCTTTGATGTCGAGGAACACGACAACGGTGGGCCACCAATATGTGTGACGGTGCTCCAACAACTGACGCAAGGTAAAAATGTGGTCGATGCAGCCACGACCCTGACGAAACCCGGCTTGCTCCTCACGAATCTGGCTTTCACGAGTGCCAGTCAGTCTGTGAAGAATTATGGAGGTGAGTAATTTGGAGGCGATGGTGATCAGGCTGATTCCTCTATGGTTGCCGCTTTCCGAGCGCGAGCCGCCTTTGAAGATGGGAAAAATAACGGAGCGGCTCCAGTCGGTGGGGACAATCTGCTCCTACAATTTCACTAATAATTCATGTAAAGCATCAACAAGAGCAGAGCCTCCGAATTTGAAGAGAGATGGAGGAAGATCATCAGGTCCCGCGGCTTTGTTTAACAGTCCGATCTCACGTTCAACTTCTGAGCAAGAGGGTGAATCCAAAGGGACAGCCCACGGAGCAGGGTGATCAGTGACCGACGAATCGAACAATTCTAGCCGATTAAATTGCTTTTCAAGATGCTCAGCCCAACGCTCCAAACGTTTTGACAAATTGTGGATAGGCTGTCCACTCTCATTACAAATTGTTTCCCTAACACCAGGTCTCCTGCTGCCCGTTTCCCGTATCTGACGGAATGACTTACGATGGTTGCCAAGAGCAGCTGCTACTTCCATCTCTGACGCACGATGAGACCACCAAGATTCGCGGTCTCTCTTCAGGCTAGTGCGCAGTTTTGCTCGGAGCTCTTTGCGAGTTTCATTGTGTTCACTTCTAGCCGAGATATGCCGACGAGCGTCGATAAGTTCCAGAGATCGAGAAGAGACCCAATATCCATGTTGGCGATTAGACGTACCACATGAGGATTTGCCTGTTGCTAGTAAGGTCTGGCGAACATGTGACCAGTGCCCATCAATTTTCTCCAGTGAGCGATTACTCAACTCGCATGTCAGCGTGCTTCGATGCACAATCAGAACAGTTGGCTTTGTCAGTTGGCTGGTGTTAATACGCTCACAGCATCATCGTGGACGTCCGCCAAAACGCATCCGCATGTCAGCACATACAAGTGCATGATCGGTGTCCACACATGTGCTCCAAATCGAGCGACAATTCTGGATGCGGCCTTTCCAGCGGTAACTGATGGCAATGTGATCGATCTGCGTCCAAGGCTGGTTCGAGGCTGGTGGGCGCCACGTCACCCTTCGGCGGGTGCTGTGTCGGAAATTAGTGCTCACAAGAAATAAGCGAGCATCTTCACACAAATGAAGCAATCGCTCACCGTTATCATTACGGGAGCCTACACCGTGTTGACCGCCCAGATGCAGTTCATCAGTGGACAACTTTCCAAATTGTGCTTTCAGATCCCCCGCCAGCACAACAGTGTCCGTGCTTCTTCTGTGGCGAAGGAACTCGCTCAGTTGGCGGTAGAAGTCGTTCTTTACCGAATCATTGCTACAGTTTGTGGGCGCATAGGCAGCGATGATGAATAGACATCTATTAGTCCCGCGCGACTTCAAAGCTTTAAACGACCCAGCCAATCGGACCGCACACATCCGGCTACTGATTGGAATCCAATCAACCAGAGCAGCTTCAGCCAGGGGACTCAGGGCAATGCCAACACCAGCTTGGCCGGTGCTCGAAGCTGCATCGTCACCGGATAGGCGCAATGAGAAAATACTGCTTGCGTCACATGAAGGAGATCGCAGAGTGAGCACAGTGCTCGAGTCTTGCAGGCGAGTCTCTGATAAGCAGCAGATATCGATCGAGAGGGTCTCCAATGTTCGGGCAAGTGCTGCATGTTGACCGATTTGTAGCAATGTGCGTACATTGAGGCATGCCAATCTGAAGGAGGATCGAGGGCTCCAAATGGAAGCTTGACCGCTTGGTAGGACATGGGCTTGTCGACAGGAGAGGAGTGACGCTCCGCGTTCACATGTGAGCTGAAAATAGAAGGTAAATGCCTAGCGAGCATGTTGGGGGGGGGCTAAGAATCGGGGGTTGAAAACTGGGGGGATACAAGTGAAGTTGGAAGGGTACGGTAAAAGTGAAAAAGCGTAAGAGGGGGAAGAAGAAGACGGAAAGGCTTGGGCAGTAGCATCCAAATCCCTATCCACCCTGCTCGATGCCGCAGATAGGGCACCGTTGATTATCCTCTGTGGTGGCCAGAACATCAAGAAATTCCTGACACAGCTAATAGAACTCGAACTGCTGTGGGCACTGTCCCCGAATTTGCAATAAATCCTGTTGGTTGCTCGCATCCTCGTGAACTGACGTCTGTTTGATGACTTTAAATCTTAAGAAAACCCAGCGGATTGACTGGTCCTACTAATTTATCATCCCAAAAATGTCCACATTTGACACAGCATTCTACGTTTCCAGAAATTAGACCCGATCCTAGCCGGACCACTTTTGAAGTCATGTGACACCAGCACCTTGGTACTGTCCAGATAAAAGTAGTTGATATGGATCATGAATTCTTGTCATGAGTGAGGCAAGAGTTCCACATTCTATTCTTCTATGCTTTTAGGTTCATTTTTACTATAACTCATAACATTTCTACA